TATGTGAGTAGAAAATAAACAAAAAAAATTGTCGAGTCAAAAATATTGTGAATTTCTGTCTTATTATACCGCCTGCATTTAAAATGACTCTCCAAATTTTTTCTAGGCATTAGGTATCGTTAATAGATCACATATATGAAAAAAAAACAGTATGTAAAATTTTCAAAATGAAGTGTAAACTTTTTGTAATTACAAGATAATTATAACATTCGCATTGTCACATTAGTTATGAACGAAACGAGCAGGGGTAGCAAGGGGCGCGGGCGCAGGGGATGCGCCGCGCATGCGCCGCGCATGCACCGCCGACGATATCTGCTCGGTTTTTTATTTAGTCGGCAACATCAGTCACCCGCGCATAATCCCTTTGAACGCACGCGCTTCCGCCTTTGCTTCCGTGTTGCGCGCCACCCGCCGCAGCCCCACACTTCGCGCGTCGGAATGTATTCCAATCGCGAATATTACGAAATGGTGCGGTGTTACATTTTAAGCGGTGAAAGTTTAAATGCAGCTCGGAGACTATACGAAACAGAATCCATCCCAGCCCTGCAAAATCAGGGATTAATAAACCCGCAGTACCTAGTCGCGAGACATTATTGGCTGTGAACCAAAGGCTATTGGACTATGGTCAATTTACTACGCCTGCTCACGCTCGCGGAGGTGGAAGATCAAGACTTGCAGTTGAAATCGAAGATGAAATCTTGGATTTCTTCGAAAGGGACCCGCGAGCCAGTACACGAGATGCCGCACGCCGATTTAACGTAAGCCACTATGCCGTGTGGAAGCTGCTGAATGTGACAGGGCTACACCCTTACCACTTCCAAAAGGTCCAAGCTCTACACGATGGAGATAATGTGCCCCGTCGCACCTTTTGTGAATGGCTGATTGCACACCCTAATGCCAACATTTTGTGGACTGACGAAGCATTGTTTACTCGTGTGGGGCTTTATAACCATCATAACGAACACTGGTGGTCCTTCAGAAATCCGCATATGATTCGGGAAACCCACCATCAAGTGCGCTTTAGTGTCAATGTGTGGGCCGGTGTTATAGGCACGAAAATACTGGGGCCGTACTTCATCGAAGGGCCGCTCACCGGCGGCAACTTCCTCGATATGTTGCGGCATGTCATTGCCGATTTCATGGAGGACTTGCCCGTGGCCTACTTCCGGGATTTTTATTTTCAACTGGACGGTGCACCACCCCATTACGCCGCCGCCGTCCGAGATCATCTCACCATAGAATATGGTGATCGATGGATTGGACGCGGAGGCCCCATCGTGTGGCCTGCTCGATCGCCGGACCTAACACCGTGCGACTTTTATTTGTGGGGTGAAATCAAAAGACGTGTGTATTTTGAAGAAGCACAAAGCCTCGAGGACTTAAAAGTGCAAATTAGTGCGGCATTTGACCACGTGAAAAATGACACTGTAGTGCTCGCCAAATTAAAAGACAATGTGCAAAAACGTGCAAGACTCTGTGTGGAGAGGAACGGTATGCACTTTGAACAATTATTAAAGTATACGTAGGTAAATAGTTAAATTAGGTAGGATAAAGTGATTAGTTGATTATGTACATAAAGTTGATGATTTTTTAAATACGCCTGATTGCAAAGAATATCTAGTTAAGTACCTACTTTTTTTATTATTGGTTTAACTAAACAGAATTTTAGGTAACTTGATATTTGCTTACCTACTTATTTATAAATTTAAAGCAGTATAGTTATTGTAATAGTAGGTATCTAATAGAATTTTTGCAATTTGACGGTCCTAAGCCCGTAAAAGTATGAAGGAAAGGTTTCAACTTTATGTACCATTTGCCCTAGCATAAAAAAACGAAAACATTTTAGGTAGCTGCTACTAACTCGCAAACGTACTTGTATTACTATCAATGAATTGCGGGAAGGGAGGGGGGGGGAACTAACGTAGCGCGTAAAGCGCACGTACTGGGCAGCGGGAGCTTCCACAAATGTATGTTTTTTGAAAATAACTTGGTGACGATATAACTCAACATTTTTGTTCTAAACGACATAAAAAGAAAAAACACGTATTTCATTATTTGTCGTAAAGATTAACATACTAAAATTTGGAGAGTGGTTTTAAATGCTTCTTGTATACTAGCTGTTGTCCCGCGATTTTGCACGCGTAAATTATAGCATATATCAACCCCGTATGATGTAACTACCCGTGGGTGAAAGAATTTTTGAAATCGTTTCAGTAGTTTCAGAGCATATTCGATGCAAAGTAACAAACAAACAATCAAATCGTTTCTCTTTATAATATTAGTATAGAAATATTCTTTGGAATGCTGACGTTGGATTGAAATAAGAATTAATAAGTACATAAGTTATATTGAGTGAATTACAAATTGATGCCTGGTTAAGTAAGCCGTTGGTCACAAGTACATCTCCAGTTGTTAACACTGCACTGGTCCCGCGTGGTGAGTCATATCCCATTCTCCCTATTCTATGTCATCCATATCCAAAGTTAATATATATTTATATATTTGCAAGCAACTACAAAATACCCGTCGACCTGAGAAATTACGGAAGAGCGGTTCTTCCTAATATGAGCACAAATCTTGTTTTTCAAAAGGAAACTCCAAACGTCTAGTGTAATAGACTGAGTATTGAAAATTAAACTTTTTATTACTTATTATTATTATTTATTATCCATAAGTAAGGCCTAAGCCTCAAAAATGGCTCGGAATAATAATTCGGAAGAAACGTTTAGTTGTTAGTTTTAGCTTTTTTAAGCAAGCGGTGAGAGTCACTAATCCGCAGTCGGCCTTAGGGTAGCGCTAGCTGATTATCAGAAGACATACTCTGATTGTTCGAAACCTTTTCATTAATTTATGATGTTATAAATTTAGGACATGACACTGCCTATATAATTTTAACAAATTATAAGAACAATTGCAAATTCCCCGTAATTTTGATTAAATTGATTGAAGAGCGGGCTTTCAAAAGAATATATGTATATAAATTATGAGAATGTAACGCCGTAATAAATATGACCATTAACAATGAGTACCTCGGTGGCGTAGTAGATAAGCGCCGTGGCATACCACCGTTTTTGTTTAGCAACTTTGCAAGAGTTGGACACGGGATGGGTGACCAAAAATTTTTATCTAGAGCTAATCCGTGCTTTGGAAGGCACGTTTAGCCGGAACCAATCCGGCTACTCATGCAGTCGTTAATACCCTCCAGTCCACATTGAGCCAGCGTGGAGGGTCATGGCAGATCCTCTTTAACCATCCATAAGAAAAACCTGAGCCCTTGCAGTGGAGACATGAAAAGGTTGATGATGAACTTTCTGTCATTGCTTGAAGGATCTTCCTGGACCCTTCAAGCAAATGACAGGAGCTTGAAGGTTCCTGCCGACCCCAATCTTCAATAATGGTGATGATCCTGATTCACTATAAGTTCTAATTTGCATAAACGATGGCACACATTAGATACCAATTTTGAGAATTTCCCAAATTAATTACTAGCGGTTAATATGCGTTCATTTGAAAAATTCTTCCAAAATTTTAAAAGCACACACAAGCAGATTTGAATTCCGTGGAGAATCTGTGTAATATTTTTCTAGATATTCTACAAATCTAAAATCAAACTTTACTAAACATTTGGTGTTGTTACCTAAATCCTTGTTCGATCCCTTGCTATCCATCTTCAGAGCACGAAAACCTCTTTCGTAGACTCTCCTATAGCAACGCTCATATTCGTACGTCTGTGATTTGTTATGCGAGACCTCGCTTAATATCACACGATTTTCTCACTGTTCGTATTTGAGAAAACCTCTTTTGTGTAAAACGAAGAAAGCGGTGACTGCGGTAAATACCATTATCTGAATTACTGTCAGGAATTGTGAAATTTATGTACGCGTGTTTATTTATTTAAAGATTCTAATGTGTCAAGAGAAAGATACCTTACAGATCAACGCATAATTATATCAGAATTGGTTCTAAGATGCAAACATTAAGGTATATTTTATTATGTGAAATAATAGGTTGGGGAAAATGTTTCTTCTCATTTTATATGAAATTTTTGAAACATTTTTCAATAAAGTTTATTTACATCTAACTAAAGCATGTATATACTATTTTGTTCGATAATATTTTGCCATGTTGTAGGTAGGGACATGATCCTATTGCTATAACAATTTTGGGGTTTCTGATAAAAAACCCGCGACAAGTGGTTTTGGCAGTCTTCGCGTGATGTTAACCTGCCTAAAGAATAACGATAAAAACTAATGGAAATATATAAATCCAACATATTCGGAAGCGTCTCGTTTTCGTGATATTTATTTGGCATCAAAATCGCTAGTAGTTGAACAATAAATACAAGTGCCATTACACAGTTTTTAAAAATAAAATGAGTTTGTAGAACGTCCTGGATCAATACTAAAAAATTTTGTGACTTCGACGTGAATTTACATGATAAATACACAGCATTTTGTCATCTTTTCAGGAAAGAGTAGCTTGTTACGTATTGGTAAAAAGCATGGTCACGATGATGGAAATTATTGGGATCTACGTAATATACCCAGTGGGCCGGCTCATTGATGACATTACGTTCTACAATGGAGTGACGCCGACTAAATTGAGGATATTCAGTCTCAGATTAGTCCCAGCATATTACGGGGTCAGTAGATTTTCCAATAATATTATATTTACCTTTGTAGATAGATAGATTCTCAAAATGCTACGCGAAGTTAAGAGTATTTTTAGATAATGAACATTTTAAAGTGCAGTTTTAATTTATTACGATTCTTTTAGAGCTTCTAACTTTTAAATCTCATAAACTTTTAAATTTCACAATGATCAACGGCAAGACATAGATTAGACAAGTTGGCGTCGAAGTGTAATGTATCGATCCTTTATAAACTTACAAACTTTTAACGAAGTGTAGTACAGAGTTCAACCTACTACTTACGCCAGTAACACAGATTCAGCTCCCGACGATCAACTCGGAAGAAGCCAATCTCATTTCCATCCTTTTAGTGGCTTACATGATCAATACTTTACCCATATACTACGAAAACTCAAATAAACTTAAAATAAGCTTTTTATTTTGCTTGTTTCAGATAAAATTATATATTATGTACAATGGTCTAATAGAAGCAAATTATAGATCCAAAATCTACGCCTTCATTGCATATTCCTTTTGCTGTTATTCAGTCATGTTAGTGACTGTTATTATTGGAGTGATATATGCTTGTTATGTTTATATATGGAAGAAAAAAGAGGTACAAAATCATTGTTTCATTAGGCAGATCTTAATTGCTATCAATCGAATATATAGTTTACCAGAACCTATTTTACAATAGCATAATTTCGGCATGCACTTTCTCTTAATATATATAACAGTTGCGCAAATGCTTGGTTTTGGCGTCACATGCATATTGCTTTATATGTAGACAGAAGCAAATAAGTTTCCAGAGAACCGCTTATTGTAGTTATAAATTTTAGTTTACGATAGTAGATCGCAAAATTGGTAGAGCTATATTAAAAATATATTTGCTTTGCTATTCTTTCCCATGAATCAATTTAAAAAAAATCTTTATCACCCGTTGAAGTAGATGCAATAGAACCTCTATGCAATGACTTTTTATACCAAAAAACCACCACAGAGCTCTAGAACATTTTCTCTGGTAACTATATTTGTATATATATTTATGTATTATGATTACAGAGTTGCACTTCGCTATTTCGTCCCGACGATACATGGGGTCCTCCATTCAATATACGTCAGTTACGAAAGCAATACGAATCTCGAGAAGTTAGTATGAAACCATTTTAACTTCGATGGCAAGCATACATCGACTTATGACCAACAAAAATACATTTGATTTCTTATATTTTCACGCGCACTATCCATTAATGAAACAACTTTTAAACTGTTTCATTGCGTTTATATTAACGATACGCAAGGCTATTGATATTAAAAAATATCGAAATTTTAATAGAGATGAAGGTTGGAGTATACCACCGGCTTGCGATCCAGTAATAAGTCAAATAAAACCTCAATCCAGATCGCACATTGCAAAACCAAAAGATACAGTTAGTTCATTTTGTAAATAAATATAAATATAAATATAAATAAATATTAAACAACATCACATACATTGCTCAGATTCCAAGATGAGTAGCTAAAGCCCCCGTATTATGGAGTATCTGAGACAACGAAGGTACCACAACACCCAGACCCGAGTCAATATAGAAAAGTTCATTTTTTACATTAACCCGACCGGGAATCGAACCCGGGACCTCAGAGATGGCGACACCTTGAAACCGGCGTGCGAACCACTCGGCTACGGAGGTCGTCGATTAAATCAAAGGGAGCAATTCGCTTTCCTTTAAGCCTTGAGCCCAAACAATAGACATTCATAGGCTGCTGATGATGGTGATGTTACAGATAAAAAGTAGGTACGCTACTTCATTTAGGTAGCAACACTGATGACCTTTACATTTTATACAATAAGGTCATGATTAGATTGTAATAAATATAATGTGATAAATTCTCATTACAGTTTGTCGGGTCACAAGCTCCCAGATTGCTGAGTCGATACTTAATTAAGAAGGCTTTGGTTTACAAATTAGATGTATGTTACGAAACAAACAAGCCGTCGGCGTCGTATGAAACTCGCACTGAAAACGAAAGGAAGAGCGTCTAAAATGCTTTATTAATATCGAATGACTTTTACTTAATTTTTTTCAATTTTATAAGAGTCGTATAAGCATTTTACTGTCCAATTTATTAAATTAATTTTGTCACTTAGCGGTTTTCTTTAATGTTTTATTTTATTTGATTTTTTTACTTAAAATTGTATTGTTGTTTACTGAGAAATTTTATAAAAACCAGAGAGCTGGATATCTACATCTATACTTATTTTATTTATTTATTATCAACAACATTTACATCGATCATTACAGCTTATAGCCAATGCGATCTAGTAAACCTGTTATGAAACAAGATATAAAAAGAACTAAAAGATGATAAATCAAATTAAATAATTTATTTACATTAAACGAAAAAATATAAAAGGGACGAGGTGATTAGTGAAGTGAAAAGTATAGAAGTGTGAATGAGAGTGTCAGTGTAGGTGAAGGGGCGTGGGTCAGCGGTGAAATTCCGTTAATGATGTTCTTCAGCAGTCTTGAAGGGCGTCTGGATCCGGAGCGTAAATTCAGCGAGGCGTAGTCTCTCGATGCGTCGAACAGGAGATTCTTCGGCACCCAAGAACTGAGAGCGTAAATCGGTGAGGAGTAGTCTCGATGCGTCGAACAGGAGATACTTCGGCAGCCAAGAACCGAGAGTGTAAATCGGCGAGGCCTAGTCTCGATGCGTCGAACAAGGGATTCTTCGGCAGCCCAGAACTGAGCAGCAGTTCGGGCCTAAGGCGTATACTCGCAGACAGCCTCCAGGAGTGAAGTAGCGAAGGAGGTTATAGTGGAGTGTTGATTTGTTGTCGTCAAGTTAAAGCCAGAAAGATGTCATGCGACTTTGAGACCGTAACTTTGAAGAGTTCCCGGGGCAGTCGGCCCCGGGAAATAGGCCTTTTAATAATTTAGCTAGCTCTATACGAGCTCCAAAAAGCTAACTTGGCAACTGTTGCCGTTGAAGTGATGAAGAACTATTTGAGCGAGGCTATTTATACCTGAAGACGAACTCAAATTTAGAAGTAAATGATTTCAAATTAGAACCCTAAAAATTCAAAAACTACAGAGTTTCAATGCCTAAAACTGACAAACAATGAGTCAATTTTCATGAAGAGTATCAAATATAACCATAGCAACGAAGAAAAACTTTGATGTCAATTATGTCAAAACAATTAAAATTAGCTATAATTTGTGTTATAATATATAAATAAGTACTTAAATATGATTAGAATTCGTAAAATGTATAACGAAAAACTATGAAAGCTACAGGTAAGGGTTCACATTAGTGTAAATAGTAAAAAACATAGGATGAAAGTTCGTAGAGATTTGGATAAGTTTATATTACAAAATTTTAATGGTTACAGGTATAAAATTGAAGGTCCACAGTTATAGAATGGATCAAGTAAAGAATATAAATGGAAAATACTAAAAAGTTTATCGATATGAGTGAAATGAGTGATATAAATCTAAGGAATGAAAACGATACGAAAGGTTAGTTACGACAAACCTTAACAATTTTTCTTATCTTAACTGAAGACCTTAATTTTTATATATATAAAATAAGCTTTATTTAATATACATTGTTCTTAATTAATTTTATATGTACAAAAAATATTGCAGTTTTCATAAACTCACTGAGAGCACAAACAAATATGTCAATTTCATTAGCTATCATATTAATGATAGATATAGCGCGTGTAAACGGTGCCTCTTTTAATAAGTTCGTGCGTGCGGATAGAACCATCAGAAGTGGCACCTGCCTCCTGCGCCATATATACCGGTCTGGTACCCTGAGACATACCCAACAAAGTATATCCGCGTTATGTATCTTCCATCTGTGTATTTTAAATATATATATGACGGCGAGAAGGCGCTTCGATTGTGCGAAACGCCGTCTGTCACCTGCAGTTGTCATCTGTCAAGATCTATGGTGCTTTGCGAAACGTCAAGTTATGACATTGACGGCTGTCATCGCTTGGGAGTGGTCTATGCTTGTTCGAAGATGGCACTTTACGTTGTGCGGCCATATTGAGCGGACGCAAGCGCAGAACTCTCCGCGTTTCGTATCGCAATCCGTTTGCATCGAGTTATTATTAATGTACTCCGATTAGATAATTAAGTAATTCAACTAAATAACTGATTTGTGATCTATATGCGATCTTATTTCGAAGGAATATCTCGACCACTAGTCAGATTGCGGATGTTGACTAACCTAACTTTCCGCCGGCCCCGCATGACTTTCCGACATCAGAAGTTGGGATGTAACCTACCAAGTGGACACACAGATGTCATGGATATGGAGAATCTTATTGCAGTAACAAAATCAAAACTTTCTCGCCCTCATCTACGTCATGACTGGGCCGTCGTCGAGTCACATGTGCATCTGCCCGAATTCGATCCTGACAAAATACAAGAAGAATCACTTGAAGCCTTCGTAAGAAGAACCAAGCGTTCCTAATATGAAGAACAGTAACCTGAACGCTGCTGTCACGTTTTTCAATTATGGAGCAGATGGTCACTACTCTCAAGATGCCTGTAGCTGAAGAAGATGCAACGGTGCAAGCCTGATGGCTCGTCTGCTGGTATTGCTAGTGAGCGACATGTGGACGTCTGCACCATTGCTACCCTTGCTAGTATTTTGCAGCATTTTGGTGAGTCGTTTTCATTTTGTTTTGATACTGGAGTCGAGCGCTCCCTTATAACGTAATTAATATCGTGAATAATTCATGGCAATCGAATTAGCAACACTATTAAAATTAACTGGTATTGGTGATAGGAGTGTTTATAGTATCGTGCAGATTTTAGTTATGGTTCAGATTGACGATATTGCTTTTTAATTTCTCTTTCATGTTCTCCTGGACCTTCAACTAGTTTTAATTAGGTAGTTCAACAAAACTTATTCTTTGTAACTGTTTTTCTCTCCTTTTTTATTTGTAAAGCAGTAGTATGTAAGTCGCTCAGGTTGTTTACATCTTCCGGGCCTTCGTAGTCGTAGGCGTAAATCGGGCTAGATTTCCCGTCGCATTGCGGCCACGTTTGTGAGTGGCGTGCGTTGGCTAGGAGATGTAAACGATCGCTGTTGGTTCGTCGCATAGAGACGACGATGAGTATTGTGGAAGGGTACCGGATGGAGGTCACCCAACCACGTGATTGTTTTGTGATGACCGGATGGAGGTTGTCACAAGGTGCTGGATGGAAGCATCTGAAATTATAGAGTATTGCATACGACACTGTTTTACTATGTAATCCACGATTACCAATTTGATTTAGAAAGCTAATTTGTCTGATGAGTTTCGTTGAACTGCTTAGTGATCGTAGCATGATTTCATTACTTTCAATATTATTGTTCGAAGACTTACAATTTTGAGTTAGTTTATACAAAATGTAGTAAAGAATCTACTGCGCTGCATATTTTCCCTTTCAGATTGAACCCCCACGCGAGGATGCGTGAGGCTATCAGAATAGCCGTTTCGCAGAACATCTCCATCACCTTTGCGGGATCGTTTGGTTTGGTTTTCTTTTTTTTTAATTTTTATTTACTCGATTACTTAATTACTCGATTGTAAAGAGGGCGTGATCATCGATACTTTTAATTCTATTAGAGTGGTAGCGCTGACTTTGACAGTTCGATAACGTAAAGCAAGTTGCCGCCATTTTGGCACGCATGAGTCTCTTTTGCATTTGGGCTGGGAGAAAACTATGGAAAAGCATTAACCACTAT